ATGAGGTGTGCCACATTTTCTTTTTCTTTTCTTTTTTTTTGAGTTTGAGTCTCACTCTGTTGCCCAGGCTGGAGTGCACTGGCACACTTACAGCCACCGCAGCCTTGACCTGCTGGGTTCAAGCGATCCTTCCACCTCAGCCTTCCAAGTAGCTGGGACTATAGGCATGCACCACCACACCCTGCTAATTTTTTTATTTATTGTAGAGATGAAGTCTCGCTAAGTTGCGCAGGCTGGTCTTGAACCTGTGAGCTCAGGCAATCCTCTCATCTTGGCCTCCCAAAGTGCTGGGATTATAGGCTTGAGCCACTGCGCTCGGCCCACATTTTCATTTTAAAAAAGCAGCCCTGTTGGAGCGGACATCTTCGTCCCAGGAGATCTTCAAAACCTTATTCTTTAGACCAGACTAGAAGAAGGCAAATTATTTGGTTAATTTCAGGAATAGGAACATTTTTCAGATCTAGATTTCAAATTGTTTTGTTAATAACTGTACTTATTTGCATCTTTTTTTTTTTTGAGTTGGAGTCTCACTGTCACCCAGACTGGAGTGCAGTGGCACACTCCTGATCACCACAGCCTCGACCTGCTGGGCTCTGGCGATCCTTCCTCCTCAGTCTTCCAAGTAGCTGGAACTACAAGCGCGCACTACCACACCCAGCTAATTTTTGATTTATTGTAGAGACGGGGGTCTTTTCAAGTTGCCCAGGCGAGTCTCGAACCCGTGGGTTCAGGCAATCCACTTGCCTCGGCCTCCCAAAGTGCTGGGATTACAGACTGAGCCACCAAGCCCGGCCTGCATCATTTTTGATTCTCAAATTGATTAAGTTTAGATGTCTAAAGTGAACCACAAAACAGCTAATCACAATAGCTAGACACACAGAAATGACAAGATGTGTTGAGACTCTTCTGTGAGTGGCCTGACAGCTCCCATGACTCTGTCCCTTGGTCTCGACAATCAATTCTGCCTTGAGACTGCACTAAGCTCTTAGCCATAGGGTCTCTCCTCTCTCAGTCCCACCTGGAATGGGAGTACCTGAGAATGAGCTTTTCCACGAACATAGGGCAAGCCAACATCTAAAATGTTGATTGGTACAGTGGCTTATGCCTGTAATCCTAGCATTTTGGGAGACTGAGGATCACTCGAGGCCAGGAGTTCAATGACCAGCCTGAGCAACATAGTGAAACCTTGTCTCTATTAAAGATAAAATAGGCCGGGCACAGTGGCTCAAGCCTGTAATCCCAGTACTTTGGGAGGCTGAGGTGAGGGGATTGCCTGAGTCCACGGGTTTGAGAACAGCCCGGGCAACTTGGCGAGACCTCATCTCTACAATAAATAAAAAAATTAGCCGGGCATGGTATTGTGTGCCTGTAGTTCTGGTTACTTGGAAGGCTGAGGTGGAAGGATTGCCTGAGCCCAGCAGGTCGAGGCTGCGATGGCTGGGAGTGTGCCACTGCCCTCCAGCTTGGGTGACGGAGTGAGATGCCAACTCAAAATATAAAATGCTGATCATCAGTGTTTTCAGAAAAGGATTTTGTCCAAAGAGGGCAGATCAGAAAAAGAAAAATAGCTCAGAGTCTGAATTTATTAGGCCCAGATAGTTATGAGTATGGGACTCCAGTCATTTTGTCCTTTCTTTTCTTTCTTTTTGGTTTTTTTTTTTTTTTTTTTAGTTGGAGTGTCACTTTGTTGCCCAGGCTGGAGTGCAGTGGCACAATTCCAGCCACCTCAGCCTCGACCTGCTGGGCTCAGGTGATCCTTCTACCTCAGCCTTCTAAGTAGCTGGAACTACAGACACACGCTACCATGCCGGCTAATTTTTGATTTATTGTAGAGACGAGGTCTCACCAAGTTGCCTGGGTGGGTCTCGAACCCGTGGGCTCAGGCAATCCACTCACCTCGGCCTCCCAAAATGCTGGGATTACAGGCTGAGCCACGGAGCCTGGTTGGGTTTTTTTGTTTTTGTTTTTTTTTGAGTCAGGGTCTCACTGTTGCTCAGTGCAAAGTTACCATCACAGCTCACCAGTCTCAACCTCCTGAGCTCAGATGATCCTTCTGCCTCAGCCTCTGGAGCAGCTGGGACTACAGACATATGCCATCACATCCAGCTAATTTGTTGATTTTTTTTTTTTTTTGTAGCGATGAGGTCTAGCTCTGTTGAACAGGCTTCTTTTCTTCTTTGTAGTGTCGGACTAGACCCATTATCTTCAAAAACCTATAGCCAACCAATAGCTTATGGTATTTTAATGCAAATTCTTGGTAAACAATTTAGGAACTGCCTTTGCATTTTTCCTTTAAAATAAAAACCCCACTTGTAAGTGCCGCTAATCAAAGCATATATTCAGGGCAGCTTGGATCTATGCTGCAGGGTTGCAGTCCTCAAACTTGGCCCAAATAAACTCTCTACTTACATTCATTTTGCCTCAGTTTTTTCCTTCTGGTTGACAAAGGTGACAGCGCGACCCCGGAGATGGAGGGGTGCCCCCCCAGGGTGGGACTATGGGCCGGTTCAGCTTCCTCTTCCTCACACCACTTGGGTCCCTTAGCGCGACACTGCGGTCCTGACGCCCACGTCCCTCAGGCAGGGCCGGCATCTCGGTGACCTTAGCGGCCCCGCTGGCCCCAACTCCCCGGTGCAACGCAGGCTGAGGGTCCTCAGGCCTGGATCCCCAGGCCTCGTCTCCACCCGCGCAGATGTCGGGAGCTACGCCCGGGTAGCCCCTCGGGGTGATGCGGGGACGGAGGGGCAGGGTCGCGCAGGGGGC